CTTGTGGAGTTAAGATGCCTGAACGACATGTTTCGGAAGCCAAAGCTGCAGGAGGTCCTGGGCCAGGACAGGCTCTCCGGCCACAGCATGTCAGGCACAGTTGTTCATTCAGGCCATAGCTCAGCCCAGATCCTGACCTTGGATGGAAACAGGAGGCTTGTATTTAAGTTAGCAGGAGCCTCTAGTACACATCTGAAGGTAGAAACAAATCACCTGTTATAAAAGGAGTCAGACAGCTCTGTCACTCTGAAGGACACCAAAGCATCTGACAAACTTTACTATCTTGTTCCAGACGAAGAAGTCTGTGCCATGCTCACTAGCTGTTCAAAGTCCCGTCGGTGTCCACTGAATTTTAAACAGCAGAAAAAGGTCAGATGTGACAGCATGGGATCTACTATCCAATTAGGTAAGGTAAATGACACTTCATGTGGCAGCTGGCCAGGAAATTTGACATGAAATTTCAATTAGCAAAATATTACAGTGACCCATCCTTAAAGTTCATAAAGATTTTCAGGTTAATAGTATTGTTTTCATAAAAAATACTGTGATACCATCATAAATCATATATACTGGATGCTAAGAAAAAGGATAATCAGTGTTTAAGTAATGTGAAATAATTTTTAGGCTGAAAGATGATCCCCTAAATCACATTATTAGTGATTTGTTCAGCCTAATTTGAGAAGTTCTGAGTGATGGAATGTATGGCAATTCCAGCAGTGGGAGCTGGGGGTGATCAGCACTCGTGAAACATTGTTTTTAACAGAACTATTTATCTTGTTTCCTCTTCAGGTTTTGGGGAGGTGCATGATTTTTTCTGTATTTACAAAGTCAGACCAATGCTCCTTCTAGGCATGAGGGATCCACGTGCACCACTTACGCCTATGAAATCCTTTTTTTTTTTTTTTTTAACTTGGTCTGCTCATTTTATGCACTGTAATTTGCTCTGCATCATTTATTCTCCTTCTTTAACAGAGCCAATAATATATCAGTGCTAAAAATGTTGTAATGCCTGGAAGTATCTGTAGCAGGAGCTATTCTATAGGAGATGCTGAAGTTGCAG